AAATAATGAAAGGACTCGTTTCTTCCTATCTGATTAGTTGGTACCAGCAAAACCAACACATCAGTAGTCCACACGTTATAAAAATAGTCCTATTATACAACACATATACACTCAACGACATATTTTCGAAAAGAGTTTTTCTCCGGCGACGATCGTGGAATGGAATAATTTAAAACACGATATAAAAGAATCGCAAAATCTGTCCCTTTTTCTTAAATCTCTAAAAGTCGAACTAAATATGAATTCACATTTACCCGTCCATTCGAACATATCATGCTGTTAGGTTTCACCTAACTTGTATGAATCTTCACTTGTATGTACAAATGTTTTATTGAGAAAGCAAAGGCACTCCCCTACTACAGTATATGCCTATAGGTGAGAAGAAAGAAAGAGAGAACATAAGAGTAGAACATGATGTAATATATACAATGATGTCACAGAACGACATGATGAGATACTGACTATATGAAATACATTTTCTGGAAAGGAAATGTTTCTTTTATATAATCACGCAGTAGTCTATAGATACTATATCTCTGTCTGTACACTGTATCTCTGTTCATTTTAGGTCTCGTGACCTAACACATGCTCCGCGTAAAGCTGATATTATTTATTACCGGTTGAGAATAGAATTTTCCCAATTAAATTTTGATCTATTTACAAAAAATCTATCAGACACTAAATTGTGTGTTTGTGGTAGCATTGAATCAAGAGTGCATTTTTTTACTCCGTTGTACTTGTTACACACGATACAGAAAGCGTCTCTATAACGAACCTAAACGAATACTGAACGGCAGCCCCCCGTGTATGGATCTACTATGCTTGAATACATCGCTTGATAAAGATACGTATTTACTTGTTGCTAAATCTATGATTAAATATATTTTAAAGGAAGTAATACAATTTGCATCTTTAACTAAATTTTCATGGGTTCTTCCTCTTTCTGTTTGTACTGTTCTTATATTTATTTTTAAACGTAATCCTTTTTCTTTCTGCCCTCTTCATTAAATAAAGCTTATAACAACTAAACTTTTGTAGCCTTATGCCTTTCATATCTTATACAAAGTCTTTTATTTCAAAGTGGTATAAAGGACGCCCATGAATGCCAGAATTTTTACAAAAGTTTTTAAATAGGGGATGTAACACCCCGCTCTGGCATATGGGATGCAGGAGTAGATCCTGTTTGTGGCCTCAGCGCTGCTCTTGATGTAAGCTGCAGATCTAAAAGATCGGGAAATGCTGCTAACAGAACGCAGAAGGAGCTTTTGTATGCGTGAAAAAGGGCTTCACTTTAACTAGCGCTAACTGTGGTTGACACGAACTCTCATTAATAGAGAATTTTCCTCACCATTTCATCATACTCAGGAATCATACTTCATGTTGGGTATGTTATCTCGTTTTCTGGTTTTCTATTAGTTCAATGATAGTCATATCATGCTATACAGGATTAAGAAGAAATAACTTGTTTTAAATGCTTTAAAGATTCTCAAGAACGTCTGAAAGCTGCATTTGGTGATGAATGAAGCCAACCTTATACACGACTGTTCAAATCTTGGCACTTGAATAATGAAAACAACAGATCTAGGTCTATCTTTATTTAAAGCTTCTCCGAAAAATAGCCATGCTTGTATATTTCAAAATGGACAGCAACATCCACTTTACACAATATAGTTTTCAAAGCGCATTACGTTTATTCATTATTTTCACAGTACAAGCAACATTTTTAGTAGTATGTGCGAATAACTGTCTTTTCTTCTTAATATACGAACAAAGCAAGTGTACGAATTAAAATTATAATAACTGATCAAACGTCCACAGTCGGGTTACGCAATTTATCATGATCATTTTTATGTTGATTTTCTAAAGAAACAGACACAATATTTCAAGATAATGTTTCCAAGTGAAGACATTGTAACTGGTATTAGCATTGGTATTTATCTACTTTCTACACTATTCGGTTCACCTATCCACTAGTTTTCACGTGCTGAAGACTTCTATGCAGTGGTTGTTCGGATGAATCGAAATTTCAGCTGAATCTTTAACAGTTATTATCAAACTCACAGTTATTCAGTAGATAGCTTGTATGCATTGAATTGTTTTTTCGTGATCTGTCTCGCTGAAGAAGAGTGAGAGTCCACGAAATATACAGACTGCTCTACCTCTGGAAAGTCTTTGTAAAGTAGGTGCTGGAAAATGACTAAATTTACTAAAGAGGCTCCTGTTGGAATCAATGATGGACAGTGTTCCAAATATCAAAAAATGCTAGCTTTCGAAACTAGCAGGGACAAATAATTCCCTGCTACTGACCAGTCACACAGTAAGTGAGCTGCGCTACTTGTTCGTGTAGAAAAGGAGGTTTACGGTCGGAGAATATGAACGCATGATAATCGCTCAGCATACTACTGACCTTTACTCTTTACACAACTCTTTGCCTTATGATTCCAAACATAATTAATCGTGCACGATTCAATTGAATAGAGTGTCTTGTTCGCCGTATATTGAATATATCTTTTATCAGTGTGACCCAATGGAAATTTTTCTTCACCATTTGCCGTTGCACATGGCGTTTCGAATATTGTTCCTACACAACTTGAGCCGTACCATAACTGTCCAACAGTTCTATTAGCTGATTTTGACCTCCGGCAAATACATATAAACTTGGGCGCACAGTTATCGTCAAAGGTTTGACAGCCCTAGAGATAAATACTTATATCTATATATATACGTAAACTACATCATTCTGATAGATTTGCCTTATTTTGAAGACTTTGGGTATTTCAGACGGAGGATATCCTCTTACACACGTCTCCATTGCATCATCACGTTCACACCAAGAACGTTCACAAGTGCGAGAATAAGCGCCATTATGACACACACAATAATACATTGAGGCAGCAAAAATATTGGTACATTTTTCGCCATTGCACGATGATGATGAGCACGGACTGTTTACGGGAGCTACTAAAACGAGAATAGAGAAAATGTTATTCAAATTTTCGTTCGATATCTGCTATTGTATTACTCCTACCGTTGTATTGCTATCATTACATTCCTTCTTGATAGTGTCGTAGTGAGCACCGTCCATACATTTTTGTTCAACACCGAAGCCGTCACCAATACAAAAAACAAAGCCAGTCAAATCCGATAACGGAACAAGATGCACGGGAACCAGCAGTGCTTTTGTGTATAACCAGTCTAGGCGCAACGGAACAAAGTTAGTCCTCACCAAAACGCAAGCTTTGAAGTACGAGATTGACATGTTTCTAGACACAGCTAAATCACGTGTTTCGAATGGCGATATCTAGATAGTTAATTTTGCAAGCAAAAACTATTGTCGGAAAAATTTATGAAGCCGGTTTTTGAGAGGATCTTTGGAAAATCAGCTTGGATTTTCCAGAATTCAAATAGGAACCTGTTGATTTTTTTGGGGCATATATAGTCTGAAGCGTCTTCTACAAAACTGGAATCATGCGACATCTTGAAAACCCATGGTTCGAGCGATGAACGTTTTTAAGCCTTAGCACTCCGATGTCGTTAGGTTTAGGACTGTGGGACATGAATGAAAACATAGGTTATCGACTATGCTCAATCTCGTGGCAATATTAGTTTTCAGAACAAAATGAAAACCCATACCAGATGAAATAACCCATTTTTGATTTATTATCATGAAAAATTAAAAATTCGAAAGAACTGGTAGCAGTTCGTGTTCTTTTGAAAAGAACTAGTAACCAGTTCGCGTTCTTTTGAAAAGAACTGATAGCAGTTCGCGTTCAGAGGGAACGCGAACTGGTATCAGTTTCCGTTTAAAACAACGAAACTGGAACTGTCCCACCCCTAATCCGCTGTTGAAACTCTGAATGAATAGCTTGAGCGATTTCTTGAATGAATTGATTGAGTTGGTTTTCAGATATTCGGAAAGACGCTTATTATGAGCAGTATTTTGAACGCATTTAGAAGCAATTTTTCGATCTTCCCCGTGAACAAAATTATTTATTCGCATTTAATTCTCTACAAAGCGGTTTAGTTTGTAATTTAATGTTGTTCAAAATTCGGTCGATAGCTGCGCTAACTTTTCATTATGGAAGCTAAATATCTCACGAGGAACAAAGCGTGTTCGTGCCGCACTGGAACACCATGTGACAATTTCTAATATAAAAAACGCGTTTATAAACTGCAGCGTTCATCGACGCAAGCGGAACGCGTTTAAACGGCTTACAAATGAAACATTTGCGGCATTCAAATGCTTTTATTTTCGCTTATTCACAAATCTTCGAACGCGTCTACCTAGTCAAACGCTTAAAAACGGCCTAGAAATGAAACTGCTAAAGCATTTAAACGCGTTTATCAAAATTTCCCAAAAGAACAAAACAAGTGTTTTGTGCCACTATCTATATGGCTGTCTGTAGAGGTGGTAAGACGGGCTATTGACTTGACACCTTCAGTAGGTGTCAATAGCCCTTGGTGACACGTTATGGTGATGTCAATAGGCCCACCCATTTTTTATTTTTCTTGGACTCATATATGTAATCTGTATTTCATACCGTCCGCTAAAGGACAATCATCATGTTCTTGTTTTTTTGTTTACGTGTCCAATTTCTAACAGACATTTCTATATTTTTTAAGTTTCAAATCAAGTAGCTTTATGAGCGAAAATTATAGACGTTTTGTACGAAATTTGAATTTTTTTTCAAATTTCGAAAGAGGCGCTCTAAGAAGATCAACACAGAGGACGATAAGTTTCGCATATTTTATCGTGCTTGCTCTATCCAGCACTTATTCTTGTTTGCTCACACATACTGAACTGCGCAAACGTAGGATGCTAATTGGATTACTTGATTCTACAGACATTTTTCCTTAGAAGTACAACATTTCTTTTCTTTGAAGATCAAACAAATCTGTTTTTTGACTGACTTCATTCTCTAATAGGTAGTGTGTCAGTGTCATCATCCGAAGTAGACACATGACACAACTGGAATCCTTTTAGGCTGTTAACTAGGACCATGTATAGTATTTATAGCCCCAATATCATTGATATTGGAGTTGTACATCTGGCGATGTTCCCTCGTCAGTGCTTAAACTGCTGGAAGTACGACCATGCAGCTTTAGAATGTCTAACAAAACTACATGCTGTAAACTAATAAGAAAGAAGAACGTGAACAGTGTGAGAGAGAAGAACGTTTACGAAGACAAAGGAAAGAAAGAGAGGAGAGAGAAGCCGAAGAGCTTGAGCGAGAAGAGAGAGAGGAACATAAAAGAGGAGAGCGAGAAAATGAATCGAGGGAAGCTCGAGCTGCCCCTGAAGCAGTTCAATATCAAATCGAACAAGAATATGAACGTCAACGGATATTTCAAAATGAACAAACTGAGAGAGAAAAGCGTGAAGCAAATGAGGCGTGGCAAGAATCATTGAAACATAAGGCGGAGCATGAAAATTTCCAAAGGGAATTTTTTCTTAAGCCAGTTACAGAAAGTTTTCAGCCAACAACAGTAGAGTATGGAAATATTGATAAACATTCAATTATTACAACAGGTAAAATTTAAGAACTATTGCGACTATCATATTACGAATTTTAATAAAAGCTTTAATAAAATAATAAAAATTAAAACATTAAAACTTAAAATTAAAATTACAATTCGATATTTCGACCTATTAATACGGTCATTTGCAAGCTGTTCTTCGTACTACGAAGAGGAACTTGAAACTCAAAATATCGAATTGTAATTTTAATTTTTAGTTTTAATGTTTTAATTTTTATTATTTTATTAAAGCTTTTATTAAAATTCGTCATATGATAGTCGCAATAGTTCTTAAATTTCTATGCTTAACTTTGCCTATAAACTCAAAAAACATTATTAAAACAGGTAGAGGAAAAGATCGCTTATTGCTGGAACGTTATCGGTATCGTCGGGATCATGTCAATTGGCGATGTGTTAAAGACTACTGTACCGGCAGAGTTCTACATAATGGTGATTGATATGAGATGTATCGTGGTCATATGTGCGAAGACCCAAACCTGGAAGAAAGAGCCATTTTTAATGAAGAAATTAGAGATAAAGCGCGATCGACGCACAATTCTCCACGTCAAATAATACAAGATGCTCGGCTTAAAACTAACATAGAAAGTTCATCGATTTTACCACAATTTTTGACACTTCAAAGAACAGTTCAACGGTATAGACGTGATGCATTCATTCCAATAACAAAACAAAACGTTTTTAATGAAACAGTCATTCCTCCTCAATTGCAAGCGACTATCGACGGTCAAAACTTTTTGATATATGATAATGGTGATCTGGAACGTAGAATATTAATATTTATTTCACCATCACAGCTAAAAAGGCTTGCAGAATCAGATGTTGGGTTTGCTGATGGGACATTTAAAGTGTATATGACATAGTAAGATGGAGAAAACCAGACATAGTAGTAGAACGACATCGTTTTAGGTAGCTCCTCAATTATTTACCCAGTTATATACAACATATTGCACAGTAAGAGACAAATTTTTGCCACTAGTGTACGCCGTATTACCAAATAAAAGCAAGGAAACATATAGTGAAGTTTTTAATCGGATTAAAGCTGAAAATGCCTAATTACGAACCGGATTTTATCACCATCGATTTTGAAAAAGCTAACCAGAGTGCCCTCGAAAGTTGTTTTCCGAGCTCAGAGGTTCTTGGTTGTTTTTTTCGTTTTAAACAAGCAGTATGGTGAAAAATAGTCGTAAATAACTTCTAATTTCACCTTTTGACCTCATTTTTTCGTTATCTTTTTGCCTTCCAGGAACTCCATTTAAAACATGTGTTTGTAAACACGGATACAAGTCGGGGAAGTATGAAAAATTTAGTAGCGTTGTGTTTTGTTCCGCCTGATACAGTAGTAGAAGAATTTACCTGGATTAAAGATTCGGCTTCTGATAATTTAGATGGTAAGCGAAAATTGTTTGAAAGTAATACGTATTGCAAAGTATGCGAATACAGCAATATTTGTTTTCTGTAGGTTTAATTATGTATTTCGAAGATACGTATGTGGGACGCATAATGAATCGAAATAGACG